TTTGTTCAAAACGTTTTTCTCTAAAATGCTTAGTTTTTGAAAGAAAAGGGGTGTCTAGGACACCTAGGACACCCTGTATAATGTGTTTGTTAGTAGTAAAATAATTGTTATTTAAGTCTTCGTTTGTTTCGTCAAGTCTTTCGCTTAATTCCCTTAATTCTGTCGGGTTTCTAATGACTTTTCGTAATTTTATCGGTCTAATTTTGTCCAGTATTTTTTCGTTTCGTTTGTCATGTATCATCGTAAGATTGTAATCTGGTAGATTTGTCTGTACGATTGTTATTATCGCGGGCTTTTTTGTTCGTATTATGACGTCTTGCGTCGTTAATTTACATTTTTCCTTTAATGTGATTTGTCCGCTTCTTTTTATTTCTAGTTTTCGCGTTGCGTCGTTTTCGCACGTTATTTCGATCGGTTGGTTTGCTCGTATAGAGTATAACCATGAGTTCGCATTACTCAGCGCTATCCATATGTTTGTATTCGTGCGTATGTGTCGAATATTACAGTTGTTTGTGTATGTCTCTAACTGTACATATGCTTGCACTTCGCATAGCGCTCCTTCGTCTAAGTAATGTATGGGATAATTTTGTTCGCAAACATATTGATCATTATTTTGCACGCATTTATTTAGATCGTGGTAAATATAGCGAATAGGGGACCCCGCCCCAATGACCTTGACCTTGACATATGTTGTCAAGGACATAATTTTAAGTAACTTTTTCTTTTAATTTAATCGTCGCTTGTTGCTTATTAAACAGTTATTAACAAAAAAAATTTGAAATATACCAAAGTACATGCACGGTAAATGAACAGTATTTTCATTAAAGATTTGTACTGATTTTGTAATTTTTTGATAATGTCATATGGCTTTATAATTAAGATCAAAAGTTATAAAAAATAATAAATTGACATAAATTTAATTATAAGAATTTTACATATTCATGATATATATAATGTTTTTTCTGTTATTGTTATAATAATGTTTTATAATAAGAAAATAATATATTTATTTTTTAGAACTTTATATTGGAAAAGTTACACTGAATATGAAGAAGCTCAGATAATGCAATCGGATCTTGATGGAAAAAACGCTCGAATCTTTCAGAAAAATATATCTATATGCCCCTTCACAGTCGATATGCCATATTTTATTTTTATGAAAATTGACGACATAAATACTAAGAAACCGCTAATTTATTGGCTATTTTATAATCTCTTGTTTGTGACAAACATTAACGTTTCTATATGCAAATTCTATATACAAATTGAAAAAATCGGTAATAACAAATACTTCGAATCTTTAGCGATTGACAAGACAAACATTTATATTCATATAATGTTTGATAATGATATATATGTTTTGGAAAAAAAGTATGCACTTCTCGAAAGCGTAGATGCATACAAATACATCCGAAAGATAAAAATGTATTCCCAAATTAATAATTTTCATTCTTTCGATAAATCTTTGCAATCGTATCCTCCGACGAGATGTCTGACACCTGACAAAAAAGTTTACAACGTAGATATATTGACGGTAACGATGAACAGCATTATTGTAAATTTTCCGGAACCGGACCCCAAGTGTGGATGCAACAACTTACCTACTAATCTATATACCATCAATATCATAAGCTATTGTTTGGACAATGAGCTTAACAAGTTCGATAATTTCACCGTGCAGACGAACAAACGATATTATGAAATTCAGAATTTAACATTGTTTACAGAGTACAAGTTACTGCTAGTAATAAGCAATTTTTATTTCGATCAATTATCGATGGACCCGTTCGGCTTGGAAGTGATACTGAGAACTAAACCGAGCAAATTCGATGCACCGAAAAATGTGACAGTTCAGGCTCTGACGCCTACTAAAGCGGCAATGTATTGGATGCCACCCAAAAAAGTGAACTGCAACTCTGTGATCTACGAAGTATACTGGATATTAATTATTTTGGTAAACAATACGCGACAAATATATGAGTCGAATGAACTTATCAATAAAACCGAATATAAGATAGACAACAAATTTTTCATGATGATTGAACCGTTGATACCAAAACAAAAGTATTGGGTATATGTACGCATGCATCCAGTCAACTACAGCAAACTTTATACTGACAGTTTGAACAAAACCTTGTACATGTATTCGGAACCAAACAATTTAACTTTGACTAAAGTTAGTATAAACGGCATGAATATCTCGTGGATTCCTAGCGTTAATTTGACAATTAATTACGAATTGGAATACAAAAATATTGAGATGCAGAAATGGCAAATTGCAAACAACTCTGAGCCAAATAACGGGGGGAAAGTAACGTACTATATAAAAAATTTACTACCAGGAACTCTATACGAGTTTCGTTTGATACTAAAATATCCAAAGTATGAGAAAAATTTTACATGGCCGTCTGACGGAAGGTTTACTTTTACAACATTGACAAGTAAGCAAATGAAGATATTATAACATTATATGCTTATTTTAGATATAAAAATGTTTACAAAATTTAAGAACTTAGAAATTTGTAATAATAAAATTATAAATAGAAATAAGTTTTTAAATAAAATGAATATATTGAGAGTATATTTTTTGCGTAATAAAGGTGATATTTCGAGCACTCCTGGAATATCGGTTATGCAATATTACATATCATTCACCGTTAGCTTTGTCGCTATAGTTACTGTAATCTGCGTCTGCTACTTTTACTACTGTAAGTATATTTGATACGCATTTAGTTCTTTAATTGCAGAAAGAGAGAGATTATATCTAATGCATTATAGTATATAGAAATTTTCTAAAAAAAATAATTTACTTGTTAAAAAAGCGATGTAAATTTTGCAATGCATATTATTAGATAAGCATATTGTAATTTTATAACAGTGTACCGACAACGCAAAGAAAGTAACGAGCAAATTTTGCCTCCCGTAATTACCGACATCGAATTAGCAATTCTACATGAGATATCGAATTTTTGGATAATTTTTTCAATGTTATTGTTCAATGCTAATTTCTAGATATACAAAAATTGAAACAGATACGCATTTCTCGATACAAATAATTACATAAATAACTTTTTATAAGAGATTATAAGTAATGCAAAATTTTTAATAACATACATATGCACTCTACTATGTATTTTTCGTTAAATTATTTAATACAAAATGAAATATATAATATTACTTGACATTAAACTATATATTTTTTAATGAAAAATAAATTTAAGTTTATTTTAAATATTTTGCAGGTGTTTCGAGGAACAGTAAAGAATTTAGAAGGACCGGGCATAGAGATATCCGCTGCCATAAAAATGCTTCGAAAAAATGCTTCCTCGCAAGAGAAAAAGAAGTTTTTAGAAGAGGCTAGACTTATGAATCACTTTCGACATAAACATGTGCTAAGATTGCTGGCCGTCTGCATAGACGAATATTCTCCATTAATTGTGTTGGAATTAATGGAAATTGGTGATCTGCTACAATATTTGAGAGACAGTCGAAAATTACAACCCTCAGATTCGCACATTCTGCGTCTGCAAGATTTGTTTCCTATGTGCGAAGATGTTGCACGAGGCTGTTGCTACTTGGAAAATCTGCGTTTCGTTCATAGAGATCTCGCTTGTCGAAATTGCTTAGTATCCGCCAGAGATCGCGAAAACCGTGTCATTAAAATTGGCGATTTTGGACTAGCTAGAGATGTTTACAAAGATGACTATTATCGCGTGGTAAATATAATTAGTGTAAAAAGATGAAATTTTTTAAAAATGTGTTTATGTGTTCTTTTTTTGTCGTAATAATATAGTACATTTTTACTTTGAGTCGAACTTAAGAAAGATGGATTATTTCTGTTTATACATATAAAACAAGAAATAAATAAACGTTTTTCGTTCTAATACAAATGCTCTTAAAATGGACAACATAAACCAGACGATTAACTTCGCTAAAACCACTTGTTTTAGAAAGCACAAGGTCGGCTTCCTGTTTGCTGGATGGCACCGGAATCTTTGTTGATCGGAATATTTACTTCCCAGAGCGACGTTTGGTCATTCGGAGTTCTATTATGGGAAATTACATCATTGGGTGAGCATCCTTACATTGGCAGGACTAATCTGGAAGTGATAGATTATGTACGCGCTGGAGGTAGGTTGCCGACGTCTCTCAATTGTCCACCGACTTTGTACGAGTTAATGCTGCGTCTCTGGAGTCCAGCGAATAATAGACCAAACTTTAAACTTTGTCTCGAGAATATTATAGCTCTAAGAAATAACATGGAAGATACTTTACTGAGTCCAATGGATATTATCTAGCCATAAAATTAAATTAATTAATGACATTATTTTCCAAATGATCCAATGAAAAGCTCAAACGTAGGAAAAATAACTTTAAATAATTAATATTCTGTCGTTTTCAAGTTTAATCTTAATATTAGATTTGTCGATAAGAATAAGAAAGATATTTTTCAATCTTATTTTGCGAGAAATTTTGATGATTGAAAATCACAACACTTGTTCTTACAATTGTAAGCAATGCGATGCTGATGCCAGGGGAAAGTGCCAGCACTTTCGAGTAACCGAAAACTTAATAGTTCTGAATCTAATAATTATCGGTAGATTGCTAAAGTAGTTTTAAAAATAATATCTATTTCATTTTGTATTATTATACTGTTTTATATTCCTATATTTTTTCTTACTTGAATGCTTAAACAAAACATACATTTATATTTTTAAAAGTTCTCTGGGATTTTTTTATTCCCTTTCCTGTTCTTTCGCTCAAAATATGAATGTACTACTGAATTAATTTCAAGAGTAGAAATATTTTAAAAATATGCAGTTTAAAAAAAGATTATCACAAGTCACTCTAATTTATCGTGAAGAAAAGATCACTCTCTTAAACAATAAACCACGACCAAATTTCCATTAAGCTCGATCAGCGATAAATTCGACTAACAATAAGATAGAATTGTCAAAATCATATCGTTCCTATCTCTCCTTTCTCATATCAAAAAACAAAAAAAATTAATAATTTCGTCTGTATTAACAATAAAAAAATACTGCAGATTTCGATGATGAATTAATTGCCGATTATATTAACCAGAATTTGATCTAGAATGTGGGTCCTCATACAACCTATATCTCGCCCGGCAATCCGTCATTTCAACTTGGTCGTTGTCGAAATATTTCACGTATTATGACTTATGTATGCGCGGAATATTAAATTATACAATTATTTTAAATTATAGATTAATTATTTATTAATCGATAAATGTATCACGAAATCTTTCATTAAGTTAATTATTCAATTCTGCAATTTGATTATTTAATTGCGCGTTTTCAATCCACATCATATTTAAATTGCTGAAAAATCCAATGATAAAGCATCGGACAAAATATATTTAATTTTAAATATTGTTAAAGAAATAATTATTGCTCATAAAGAGAAATAGCAACAAAACGATAATTTATATATTTTAGGATAAATATGCATAAAAGATTGTAGCTCACCAATTTTATCGCCACTTAGATATATTGTAAGGGAGGGTTCTGAATAATTCCCCGCAAGAATCAAGTGGCGGACGGCATTAGTTCAGGAGATATAACAAATTAAAGTTTCACAGTTTTAATCAGCTTTTTCTCAGGTATTATAAAGTAACATGAGAAAATGTGAAGTTTGTATACGTTGTATTTGTCGTAGAGTAGACATGGAAAAAGTGTTTGTTTTTACGGGATAGGTACATGGTCATAGATATTTTGTCAATAATCGATTTCATTTATTTCTCGCAGTTCGTTAACAGCTTTCAACAAGCGACTACAGGAATTTCTGAGTCTTGTCTTGAAAAATATTATTTATTAATTGCGTGGGCGGGGGAGAGGCGGAGCCCATACCTCTGCACTTCTACCCCGAAAAAATTCTAACCTAACCCAACCTAACTTTACTTTTAAAACTGAAAATAAGTTTGGGTTAGGTTAGAAATAAAATTGCTGTATTGTTATATTCCGAGTTCTCTGTACGCTCCTGAAGTTTGTCAGTAATCTTTTGAATCATTTTGTATATACGCGGAATATTAAATTATACAAATATCTTAAATTATAGATTAATTATTTATTAAACGATTTATCACGAAGCTTTTTTTGTTACTGCTAGTTATGATTCTGTGATTTGATTGTTTTTAATCTGAAATATATTTAGGGATCGTCGAAAAGTTGAATGAAATAACATCGGATAAAATATAATTTAACTTTAAGTATTGTTAGTAAAATAATTTATGCCTATAAAAAGAGAAAAAGAGAAAGAGATTGCAACAAAACAATAATTTATAATTTTGATTCCTGTCACTTCGATTCTTTATTAAATGTGTAATTATCACGCGAAATATGCGCTTTGAAATTTATTCAAGCGATATACTTACGTATTATTTAACGTATATAAAAAATAATTAGTTATTAATCATATCTCAAATTATTTGAGATATTTGTCGATACTTGTCGCAATCGCCAATAGGATTACAACGATTCATTGGCGATCGCTGATAAATTCAACCGGTTACTATTATTTTATAAACTCTGTTATAGAATATGGTCAATTCAAAGATCTGCGAATCTTTTACGTTACAGATTCCAGGTTTTTCTTTTTTAATGGGCAAAACGTCGAGTTAATTATACTGGAATAAAATCTTATACAATTCTATTCGATGAATGTTTGCTGATAATCATATCAAATTTTTTAATTTTAAAGTATTTTAACAGTTTTAATTATATTTTATAATACGTTGTCTCAAAATATATACATTTTTGTTAATAAATTTTTTAAGCATCAATTCAAATTTTATTTTTAATCCAATGTCAAAGACATCAATCAGGCGAATACGCAGTATTTTTCTCTTTAACTTCTTTTATCTTTTACATTTTAAATACGTTATGACTATAGGTATATAATAAACTACATCGTGGTATTATAATCATATATTTCATATATGAAATTGTTTATTACAAACCCTCTTTAGTTATTTTCTATCATTATAGACAAATATAATAATCCATAATTTTATATGAAAAAAAAGTTTGCTTATCTTAAAAAAATATAAACATGCAGCAATCAAAAAAATATTTTACAGCATTTATATGTGTAATTTGTAGATTACAAGAACTTTTATAAACATTTATTATTCAAGTAAAGAACTGATAAGGCTCTTCTGTTAAAAATAAAATTTAAATTGAGAAGGCTAATATTATAAGACATATGCATATGGTAAAGCGTGAGTTTCGAAAAGAATAACAAAAAGAAAGTTTATCAACTCTATTTCTCTCTTTCTCCCTTTTCAATTTCAGTCACCTCTATATGACACCGCAAACGATAATACTGCTGTAACGACCGTTCCAGAGACTTAGGTAGACCCGTATTAAACAGTCGTGAACCGTCATCGGTGGTATCAATTATTCCTAATCATTGCAACAGAAGTGCCATTGAAGATCTCATACGAAATTTTTTCCTAAAGTTGGAAATCAATTATTAAAGTAAATTGAGACCGTCTATAAAAGCACGTGAGACTAATTTAAATTTTATTCCAAAATAATATGTTCTTTCTCTGCAGTTATTTTTTATAGTTTTTTTAACAGTTGGCGCAAATACAACGCAGCTAGTATCTAACCGATGTTAAAAGAAGAGAATTTTCGATTAAAATTGAACCGAATAATTTGTCTGTTCTAAATTTCTGAATTTGGAAGCTTTATTGAAGAATCTTAGTCAGTCATTTAAAATAACGGTTGAGTCTTGGCACATAAAAAAAATTAAGAAAAGAACAGAAAAAGTTATATACATACATGAAACACGTATATTAAATATAATAATTTATCCTTCAATTTACTTGATATAGGTATATATTTTTTATACATATATCATAGAATTGGAATTTTGTTATAATGCGTACAGGTAATAATATATCACTATTAAAAAATGTTTCTTATAATAATAATAATATACATATAGTTCTATATATATAATAATATATAAATTTCAGTACCTGAACCATAAATTATTAATATACTCAGAAATAACCGCTTTTTCTTGATTTCATAACGAACTATTTTCCCTTACAGCGTTATTTGCGATCATCATCGCTAACATTGTGTGTGCCTTCGATGCATCAATGTTATTTAGCGGCAAGACTGAAACTATATTTGCTAATCTATCTACAGCGATTATAACATATGTAGAATTAAAGGATATATCAAGTCTAAAAGATCCATCGTATATAGTATGTAATTGATGTATTTGTATCTTATATAAGTTCTGAGTTGCTCAATTTTTAATTTATGTTTTGCCACAGAAACAATTGTTACACAGAGAAAACACAGTATTTAGTCCTATCAATATAATTATGATAACATCCTTACTTTTAAACGGCGCTAAAGAAGGAGCAACAAAGAATGAATTGATGTCTCTTTTGAAAATTACTGAAACAGAGGAACGCATATTTCATGTTTCTCCATCAAAAATGTATTTTGTTCCAACAATGAAATTTGAAAAATCGACATTTATTCATGGTGAAATACCACATTGGAATGCCAAGTTCATAGAAATTCCATTTTTGGTAAATAATGATTATTTATAAGACAACTTTCAAAAATAAGATAATGAATCATAACATAATTATACAGAATATCAAGATCAATTAAAGAATATCAATTAAATATTGAATCAAAATATAATTTTACAGAATAACAACATTACAATGATTATATTTTTGCCAAATAAAAATATGGAACCTGGGAATCTGGAGTACTTGGATAAAAAGCTTAACTTTGCAGAATTTAAGTCAATTAGAAATGCATACACAAACAAATTTGAGCAAGATATGGAATTATATTTACCTAAGTTTACGAGTCAATGTCGTCAAAATATGACAGAATATTTTCATCAGGTAAGTATTGTGTAATCAGTAAAATTTATTTATAACTGATATGCAAGAGAAATGTTGGATAAATTCTAGAAATTAAAACTGATAATTGCTTGTAGATGGGCATAACTACGATGTTCGAAGATAATGCGGATTTTACACGTCTCTCAAAAATTCCTCTAAAAGTGAACAATATCGTTCAAACAATTTCCGTAACAATTAACGAAGAAAGTTTGGAAGTTCCGAATGGTAATCTATATGTATCATTTGAATAATAAAAAACTTTAGGCGAATACTATGTGTGTAAGCATTACAATAAAAAATTTTTAATTGCAGTTGACAAAAGCGAAGTAAGAAAACTGGCAAGTCCACTGCAAGAGTTGGTCGTAGATCGTCCGTTTCATTATATAATCGAAATGCATGGAGAGATAATATTTGTTGGAACCGTGCGAGTACCAGACTTTAGAACATTTATGAGAGATGAATTATAAATTCTGTTATGTTCTTATATTTATTGACAGTTTATATCACACAATGTATGTACAGCTTAAATTTTTTTAAATTTTATCATATAATGTATATAAAATTCAAGCATTAATATAAAAATAATATATTTTGGAAATGTGCTTTAGTCATTTTTTGACCAATTTTCTTATTACTTACAAGTAGCCGAATAAATTTGCACTTATGTGCGTTAGATGCAACAAAATGACTTCATATGCACGTATACAATCGAGCAACTATGTATCTATAATTATATAATGTAAAAAGAGATAGATAGCATACATGCACTTTTTATATTTGACGCGTTTTATATTGATTGATCTTCTCGCATAAATATATAATACATTATGAAAAATATTTCTCAAGATTTAAATGCTACATATATCTAGAAATTTATAAAAACAATTTGTGTATTATATATTATTTATTAGAACATTACAAGTGTGCGCTATGTGATTGATTTAGAATTATAGAAGAATTAAATTATAGTCCTATAGATTTTATTGAAGAAGGATCAGAGTTAGTTTCTGTGTTTAATATTGAGTATTTCAGCAGTGAATTTACATTAATTTTAATATAAAATATAATTTGAATACAAAACAATTATTTGTTTAGATTAGTGTTATATTATTATATACAAGTTTATTAATTTTATTTATTTATTTATTTTTGTTATTGATTAATATTATTAGTTTAGTAATAATTTTTATACAAGAAATGTTTTGGAAACGATGAAATTGATTTGTGAAACAAGAAATTGATTTGTGGAACGAAAGGAGATCTTTTCTATATTGTAATTTTTCTACAATTTTAATCGTCTTCTTTATATTTCTAAAGAGTTTTAATCAATAGCAGCGTTAATTAATTCTTCCACAATCATATGATCGCTCGGTTGAAGATATACTCCCTCTCTGTCAGGTTTCGAAAATGTCATACAAAAAATCGCAATATTGTTTAAATATTGGAGTTTCAACGCTTTGAATGTTAAAATTTCTTTTTTATAATTCGTGTAATATTACGCAGAACAATAATCAAAAAGCTGATGTTAGATGCAATGTTAAAAACGAATATTGCACTACGAATGCGTAAAATATGAGTTGTAAATTTTATTTAATTATCGCGTCACTTTTATTTCAATTAGATAATTAAAATCATTTACACAAATAATCGTAACTTTGCGCGTTATTTTTATTTCAATTTTTGTGACAATTTTAATATTCATATAATGCATACTCAGGGAGATAATAAAAAATTTATTTTCTTTTGTTGACAAATTTAAAAATAAAAGAGAGATGTAAAAATACTTTTCGTTTTTTTCTAATAATACGAAAATATCCGAAAGTAAAAGTTAGAAAGCTGTTAAACAATGACTTGAAATTTTGCAGACAAACTTCTCTTGATTTTTCTTTCAATGTGTGTACACGTATTCCAATAATTTTATTTGATTTCAATTCTGTTATTAATTATACAATATGAGTAAAAACGCGAAATGTGTAGCTTTTTATTTCATTTTAATAATTGTATGAGTCTATATATGAGTATCATGTATATTGAGATTATTAAGTTGTTTTTACGATCAACATATGAGAGATTTAATATAATGAGAGAGATTATTTAATACAATATATTGAATTATAAAGTATAACATAACAAAAAGAAACGTAATTATAATAGGCAATTAGGAGCCAGCGCAGTGTGTAGGGCGCAATAGAATTTATTAAAAAATTATATATAATAATAATAAGTATAACATAATTATAAAATATTATTATTATTAGCGAATTTTATACAACTGCAAGCTGTCTTCTCGTTCCTAACTATGCGTATCCGTCTAATGCATGTTCTTTTTCGATCTCTCGGATTGTTATGTTATGTCGTTTTTCATCGTCCTAATCGCAGGGATTTATCATACTTCTTCCTTTTTGTAATGTCCATTGGAATATTTTCTGTGGCCATTTGTTCTCAGACATTCTTAAAAGATAATAATTTATAATTTTATATAAAAAAAAGTTTTCTTACCTTAAAAAAATATAAACATGCAGCAATCGAAAAAATATTTTACAGCATTTATATGTATGATTCGTAGATTATGAACAATTTTAAAAACATTTATCATTTGTATAAAAA